AAAAATTTTATTTCAAATTATCCACTAGACAATTAAAATAGAGGTTATATATAACAGGTAAAATTGATAATTCACCTTAAATATGTTATTTAGCCACCAATACGTTGATTACCAAATAACACCATTTTCTCAAAATTTATGTTTATGTTTAATATTTTTACCTTCCTTGAGATGCTATGGTAGTGGCCCCGGTATTTAGTGCTGCTTTTATAAGTTGGTATTGGAGTGTTTTGACTAGCGTAATCTTAAAATATAAAAAAAAAATAAAAAAAATCATTAACTAACTTTTTTTTTTTTTCATTTTTATATGCTATTTTGTAGAGATTGCATTTTGACGTGGTAACTTTTATTTTATGCCAATTTCATCTAAAAAAATCACCATAAATTTTAAATCGTAAGTTCTCAATAAAATATAAACATAAACCTAAACTAAATATAGGAGTTATGTAGAATAACATAAACAAATAAAATAAGAGGTCATTCAATATTTTAGATAAGTGGCTGAACGAAAATTGAATAATCAAAAACGGTGATAGCGAATTCGTTACTACTAATAAGTTGCAATTTCAACGTTAGATTCTCAATGATGTAGACGAAATCCACGAAAAATAAAATACATTGTTCCAAATTGCAATCTTTTTAAAAAAAAAAAATTGTTAAAAATAGAAACTAAGGAAAGTTAGTGGTCTCAACATTTCAAATTAAGCACTATAATCTTAATTAATTACCATGGCCATCAAAATTGTCTTATATTGGCTAGATTCAAAGGTGAATGATCAAAGCATAGATAATTAGGTTTTCATGATTAGGATCTAGCAAGCCATGAATCTAGCTACAGATTTTGTGGATTGAGTAAACTTTTGAACTAAAATTACACATATTAATTATAGTATATGCATAATAATTTGTATGTGATCCACACATTTTTACTCGAGTGGCTAATCTTGCTATAAAATCGAGCTTTTTACACCAATTTAATTAATTATATAGACAATGTACGAATACCATAACTTTGTGAGGCTACACATTAATTTAAAAAAAAAAAAAAAAAGACTTTTGCATCGTTAGCTAGGAAATAGGAGTAATAAAATTCACAATCTTCAATCAGACAAGAAATACAACTTTTCAATGGTCTTTGACGTACTAATGCGTGAAGGAATAAAAAACATAAATAAATAAAGGAAGAAAGAGAAGGAATATGGATCAACTCAGCTCCAATTTTAAGGGTTAATGAAATATTTAAGTGAAAATAGCTATTCTCACCCAGTTTTGAAGTCTTTTGTTAAGTTTTTCACACCGTCTAACAAAAAGCTAAGTTTTCACCCCAGAAAGTGCGAAAGGCATTGTTGCGATGAATATGCGACAATTGCGTGATAACATTGTACAAAAGTTAAAAGTGCGAAGGCATTCGCATATCCCTTCGCACTTTCTGGGGTGAAAAAAAATTAAAGTGCGAAGACATTATGCGATGAATATGCGACAATTATGCAATTGATATGCGACAGTTATGCGACAGTATTTCGCATAACCTATGCATATGCGACAGTTATGCGATGAATATGTGACAGTTTTCGCATAACCTTCGCATTTTCCGGGGTGAAAAACTTAGTTTTTTATTGGGCGATGTGAAAAACTTAATGTGTCTTTGTATTAGGGTGAAAAAGATTTTTTGCCAATATTTAATGTACGTAATAGTCATACTTATTAACTAGTATTTGATCATGTGCATTTGCACAGATATAAAATACGTTTTTGCTTGTATTTATTAATTAGACATGTATTTCTATCATATAAAAATTATTAGTTTTTCTTTAGTTATTTTTATCATTAAAAAATAATTGAGATTTAAATTTTGTTTACCATGCAACGTATACTTAGTAACATGAATAAAATAATTTATATATTTGTGGCATATATTAAGAAAATTAACATAAATAAAAAAATTATTGGTGTTTCTGATTTTTAGAAAAAAAATGTGCTAATCATATTTTTCTTCCAACAATGCAACCAAGTATAGCGGTTACAACTTTGAATGTGCCAATCAACTTTAAGTTCCAACATTAACCGTTACACATTTGAATATTTTGATACCAAATTTAGAATTAATTTAATAATTGATCCAAAAAATAATTAATAAAAATATATATATTAATGTGTAACGGTTTTAGCAGATTAGTGAATAATTAATAAAAAAAATATAATTCAAAAGAATAAAAATAGATTTTATTAAATACATCAGCTAGTAATTATATAAATATATATATATATATATATAGATTGATAAATAATCACTATCAATTTTGTTTTAGGCTGACAACTGATAAAAACAAGAGTAACTTTACAGATTGAAAGTCTTATTAAAAACATATCATCAATATGTTATAAATATAATGAAGCTAAATAAATTTAACGAATTAATGAATAGTATTTTTTTCCTTGAAATTATGGAGGTATTATATATAAAATCGCACAAAAGTGCAGAAATACAGCCACCAACTGAATACAATCAGCCAATAACTGAATAAATTGGAAGGACATTTCAAAAGACCGCCTAGAACCGACTCTAACAGAATAATACTCAAAAACACAAAAAGCACAACGACACTAAAAGCTCCTAGAAGGAGAATGAAAAAAGGAAAGAAAAGACTTCAACAAGGTATTCTTAATTTTTTTTTTTTTAAATCTCCAACTATAATTTACAGCATCAACAGAATTTGTCCACGGCAGTTAAAATCACAAAATTAAGAAAAGAAAATAATTTACAGTATATATATATTATTGGCATTTGTACATAAAACTAGCAATAGGATAATACGTACATACAACACAACTGTTAATTAAAAGAAAAAAAAATAGATTATATATGATTTTTAATTTTTAAATCATTTCTTAAAAATACATATTTTTTTAATACAATATAGATATCACTAATAAAATTTTGATCCCCTGCTCACGGTGGACAGTACCCACCACTTTGTTTTATATGAAAAACGTATTCTCAGAATACGTTTTTCAATTATCAGAATACGTTTTTCATGTAAAATAAAGTGGTGGGCAGCCCACCGTAAACAGGTGAGCGAGACTAATCACTAATATTTCATAACTACTACAATAGTAGTAGTACTAAGTAGGCATGTAGGGGTCTTATTATATATGCTCGAGGCTTTTGGCTTTAGCTTTACAATATTCCTCTCTTTCTCTCTATATTGCGCGTTACTGTTTTGTCCCCAGCTTTGCTTCTAGGGTTTTTCTTCTTTTGCAACCTCAAAGCTCTTAAAAGTTAAAACCAAAACACAAATTAAGGCTAGCTATATAACTTACATATTCTTCTTTGAATCATGTGTCAAAGCTCTCAATAATCTTGTTAGAGACAAAGAAGAAGAAGAGTGAGGATCGTGTTTATTCCTGATAAGTCATTCATTTCTTAACGACCAAAAAAAAAAAAAGATCAGAAAATAAGCGTTTCATATATACCGCTTAGTTACCAGAAAAGGAAAGATTATTCGACTGCTCAAGATTTGCGGAAACTAAGGTAATTAATTCGCCAAAACGAGGTAAGCTGCAGCCAGGTTGATCTTGTCTTGAGCTTTCAATTAATTTAGATGCATCAAACACAAATTTCTCATTTTGAGTTTTATATTTTGTGTAGATCTTTAAGCATATATATAGTACTAATAATTATTAACCTTGGACTAATAATAAGGATGGTACAAGAATCATCAAGACATAATAATTTACCCAATATTTTGAGGTAATTAAATGTGTACACAATTACATGTTTGTTTTTGTCTTTTGTCTTTTTTTTTTTTCTGCTTTACTTGTTTTACTGGAGCTTTAGGCCAGGGTAGTGAGGAGAGCAAAGAATCTAGGTTGAATATCAATTAAACAAAAAAAAATGAATTCTTAATTAGTCCATCTTTGTCATGATCCATGGCTATGATCATTTTCCTAACCCTAATTTGCTCGACAAACTCTTCGATTTGTTATTTTCGACAACATTTATATTGTTATGACTCGTCTGATTTGTCATGAATAAATTATAAAAGCTCGTCCTGTATCGAAATAAGTGTTTAATTATATTCCAGTTATTGTGTGAATTTTTCCAAACTGCACCGTAATTTGAACTAGGTTGGATCGAGTTCAAATCCTTGTTCATGTCATATTTATCAGCTTAGCTCATGATACATGACATGAATCAATTGATTGGGCTAATAATTTTACTGTGTTTGAACGCCTTTCTTTTGCTCTGATATTTCGAATCATTTCACCAAACCTCTTATTTTTGAAACCATCCTTTTCAATTGCAACCTCTAATTGTCTCAATTACAGTTCAGTTCAGTAATTTATAAAGCTAGCTAGTAATAGCTTCTAGCAATTTTAGACTTATAAAGTTGACTCGTTCGATTCTACTTGAATCAGATCATATACATACTCACATACACTCGCGTGAATTTGTGTGGATCCAACGATTGAAAAACCTGAACATCAATGAACTTTTTAGTCTATATTTTCAATGTCTCAATAGCGTTTTCAATGTCTGAGTAGCATTTTGGTATCAATACACATCACTTTTTAGCCTTTAGAGTAACACACGTACGTCCACAAGAAAGTATGTAAATGCATACGAACATTTTTCTTACACCTTAAGATCAATACACATGCAAAACAGGAACCAACGCGGTACAACTGCCCCGGTGAAATACAATTTTAGTCCACTAAATTTGAGTGTTTTCCATTTTCGCCGAGTAACTATTTGGGGTCCGAATCAAATAATTACATGATTCCGATTTACGGAATCAAAATTGGACCAAATTAGCTAATTTTGAAGAGTTATTGGGTCAATATCGAACCTCTATATATTAGTAGGCAATGATAGAAACTCCCAAAATTAATAAACTAAAGCTGCAATTTTCATCATTATTTTCCCTTTTCTTTTCCCCATTTATATCTTAAATCATTATTTAAATAATAATAAATCTCGATAAGCAGAATTTCGACACATGGCTTCATCCTCCTCCACATCGAACAGTACCTACTCAAACCCGCCGTGCGCCGCCTGCAAGTTCCTCCGGCGAAAATGCCTGCCGTGCTGCGTTTTCTCCCCTTACTTCCCTCCCGAGGAACCCACCAAGTTCATCAACGTCCACCGCATATTTGGTGCCAGCAACGTCAGCAAGCTCCTCAACGAGATCCCGCCACATCAGCGTGATGACGCGGTCAACTCCCTCGCCTACGAGGCGGAGGCCCGACTCAAGGACCCCGTTTATGGCTGCGTGGGTGCCATCTCAGCACTCCAGCGCCAGGTCATCGCCCTCCAGCGGGAGCTCGACGCCACCAATGCCGATATTCTTCGCTTCGCGAACAATAATGACCCGTATGGGGGAAACGGGTTTGGGAGACGGGCAGCCGGTTCGTCGGGTTATTTCGACCCGAATACGGGTTTTCTGTTGCCGTATTCGAATTGGGGATGGAATAATGGTATGAATAATAGTGGTGAGAGAGCCGATCATGACCAGGCGGATAATTAGGTTAAATAATAATAATAATAATAATAATAGTAATAATAATAATAATAAATAATAATAATAATAATAATATAAGGATGTGAGAGTGAAAGGAGAAGCGCGAGTTCATGAGTTGAGTTAATTGTTGTCATTAAGGGATACAGAAGGTGTTTGTTTGAAGTTGTTTGTCATAATTAAAAGTTTGTGATATCTAATTTAAGGTATTTTTGGAGTTGGTAAGTACAAGTGAAGTGTTGTTATAGAGAATTAATTAGTTATATTGGAAAAATGGTTTGGACTTTGTACTAAATAATGGAAAAATATATAATTAATGAGTGAATGTATTAATTTTGTTGGATTATTGATCATTTATCAATTTATTGGGTTGTTGATTTTGATAGTATTATAATGAGAAATTATATAGTGAATGCGTTTCAACTGTCAAGTGCAACTTTTGATAAATAACAAACTATTCTAATGATGTAGCATAATTTAATTAGTAAATGAATTAGAGTAAATCATTTTTAGAGAGCAACATAGCTCATACAAAGAGGAACTTATAAGATGTAATTAAAAAAGAAAAAAAAAATTATTAGCTCTTAAAAAACTTATTTTTACAACATATATGCTTTTTTTTTCTTATTGAAAAAAGAGTATCAAGCAAATTATATCAATATATTTTTCTTAATAAAAAAAAAAGCTTACAAAAAATTTCAAGCGCCCTCTCGCAGTCATAATAAAATGTCAGATATTAGTTATGATCAA